GCAGAACCACTGAGCTAAATCCCCGGCCCTCATTACTCTTTTTTTTTTTTTTGGTACCGGGGATTGAACTTGGGTCCTTGTCCTTGCGAGGAAGGCTGCAGAACCACTGAGCTAAATCCCCGGCCCTCATTACTCTTTTTCTAACACAAGGCAGCTACGAGGAAGACCCTATTAATTCACCTTTCCCTCTTAGCCTTCTTCTCCGAAGCCCAGTACTTCCAGATCCTCACAGCCTCATGTCCTCCATCTCACCTCCGCCCGCTACTCCCTGCCCCATCTCAATCCAATAAATTGTTCAGGTCCTTAGTGGAAAATAACCACCAGCAGGGTCCTGCACCAACTGAGCACGGCTCTTCCTTCCTCAGGCTTCTGAACAGCACCAGTGTGGTCACCATGCGTCCTTGGCTTCCCGAGCTCCTAATGTTCCTCCTGTGTTACCCCCACAGGCCTCCCATAGATCCTGAAGATGCTGTCTACAATCTGCCTTCTGCTCCACGGGGAGGACCTGCTGCCTCCTCGACATCTTCCTCAAGTGGCCACAGATCCTGCACACTAGCCTGTCCAACATCCTCTGCGACCCGAGCTAGCACAGCGTCACATGTGGCTGTTCAGCTGTGTAGCTGAGCTCCTGCTTCACAAGCCCTGGCTCTGCTGTGTATTGCATCTGCCCTGGAGTCCCTAGTCCCATTCCTTTCCTCCCCATGCCCACACTGGCCCCCAGGAAAATGTGTGCCTCTATTACCTGTTTTCATGAAAATTTATAATGTTTACTTTTTTCCCAAAGCAGATTTCAAAAATATTTTTGATGACTTTTATCTCCATTAAAGCCAGGAAAATAAGATTATAATAAATTCAGTTTTAGGTTGGAATAAAATGTGTAAGTTTAAAATACTGTCATGTATTTGAGCCAGGCATGGCGGTGCATATTTGTAATCCCAGCACTCCAGAGGCTGAGGCAGGGAGGTCACCATGAATTCGAGGGCAGCCTGGGTTACACAGTGAGTTCAAGTCCAGCCTGAACCACATAGCAAGACTGTGTCTCAAAACAAACAAACAAACAAACAAATTAATGCGAGTTTGGGCTGAGAATGTAGCTTAGTGGTAAGAGTACTTGCATAGCATGTGTGAAGTCCTAGGTTCAATCCCAGCAATGGGGGAAAAAATGAATTTAAAAAACCTCACTTTCAATTTCTGTGTTTTTTTCAACTACTTTATGTTGGGGGTGATTAACCATTGAAAACACATAAAAGAGACCTGTCAAATAGCATGTCTGTTGTCCCACTTACTTGGGAGGCTGAGGCAGGAGGACCACAAGTTTGAGGTTTGCCTGGGCAACTTAGTGAGAACCTGTCTCAAAAAGATAGAGGAGGGAGCTGGGCACACACCTGTGATCTCAGCACTTGGGAGGCTGAGGCAGGAGGATCACTGTGAGTTTGAGACCAGCCTGGGCTACTTAGTGAGTTCCATGTCAGTCTCAACTACATAGTGAGACCCTGTCTCAAAAAAACAAAAAAAAGAGGAGGGGGTGGGGATTTAGCTCAATGGTTCTGCCATCTGCCTCTCAAGCACAAGGTCCTGAGTTTGATCCCCGAAACCGAAAAAAACAAAAGAGAGGGCTGGGGTTGTAACTCAGTAGCAGAGCACTTTCATAACACATGTGAGGCCCTGGAATTCAATCAACAGCATGGCAAAACAAAACAAAATCATAAAAGAGCAAGAAGGTGTACAATCCAAAGCACAAGAAAGTATTTGTAAATCATGTCTCTGGTAGGGATTATTTTCCAGACTATACGGGGAACTTCTGAAACTTAGTAACAACAACAGAAAACCACCCAAGCAATCCAATTTAAAAATGGAAAGAGATTGGCCAGGTGTGGTGGTGCATTCCTGCAATCCCAGCATGTGGGAGGCTGAGGCAGGAGGATCTCTTCTAGTTCAAGACCAGTTTGGATCACAGAGTGAGACACTGGAGATATATATATCAGACTATACGGGGAACTTCTGAAACTTAGTAACAACAACAGAAAACCACCCAAGCAATCCAATTTAAAAATGGAAAGAGATTGGCCAGGTGTGGTGGTGCATTCCTGCAATCCCAGCATGTGGGAGGCTGAGGCAGGAGGATCTCTTCTAGTTCAAGACCAGTTTGGATCACAGAGTGAGACACTGGAGATATATATATATATATAAAAAAAAAAAAAAGTAGGGAAACCCAAATCAAAAGCACAACAGGGCAGGACCCTCAGTTCATGCTTTAGCATCCCAAAAAAAAATAAAAACAAACAAATTAAAACAAAACCAAAATAACAAGTGTTGACAAAAATGTGTAGAAATCAGAGCCCTTTCTGAGCATGGTGGTGAACACTGTAATCCCGTAGTTTGGGAGACTAAGGCAGGAGGATAGTAAATTAGAGCACCACCTGGGCAACTTAGCAAAACCCTCTCAAAATAAAAAATAAAAAGGACTTGGAATGTAGCTCGTGTGAAGGTCCTATATTCAATCTCCAATATGAGGGGCAGGATTGGAACCCTCGTATGTGGCTGGTAGGGATACAAGGAATATGCAATACTAGAGGCACTGTAGATGTTTCCTCAAAAAATTAAAATTAGAATTTTACCATATGATCCACCAATCAAACTTCTAGGCACACATCCAAAAGAACTAAAAATAGGGTCTCAAAAACATTTTTTTTTTTTTTTTTTTTTTT